GTGGTATTTTCTTGAGTTCTGAACCCTTTAGGTTTGTATGTTTGTTTCCTTTGCAGCATCTATGAAAGACAAGGAGGCATTTTTTTTTTTTAATCCTCAGCCAAGGATATTCTTCCATTTATCTTCAGATAGAGTGTGAGGGAGGGAGAGAGGAAGAGAGAGAGAGAGAGAGAGAGAGAGAGAAACATCAATGTGAGATATACACATCAATTGGTTAACTCTCACATGACCTTAACTAGGGCCGGGGACCAAACCACAACCAAGGTATGTGCCCTTGACCAGAATCGAACCCATGACTCTGGTCCACGGGCCGACACTCTAACTGCTGAGCCAAACTGGCCAGCGCTAAGGAGACATTTTTACTTGCATATATGTCTTTTATTAAATTGAGAAAAATCGCCCTGGCCGGTTTGGCTCAGTGGTTAGAGCATCGGCCTGCGGTCCTGAGAGACCCGGGTTCGGTTCCCGCTAAGGGCACGTACCTCGGTTGCAGTTTGTCCCCGGCCCTGGTTGGTTGTGCAGGTGGCAGCCACTCGATGTGTTCTTTTCACATCGATGTTTCTCTCTCTCTCTCTGTTCCTCTCTCTCCCTCACACTCTACCTGAACAAAAAATGGAAAAATGTCCTCGGGTGAGGATAAAAAAATAAATAAATTTAGAAAAAAAAAAAATTTGAGAAAAATATTTGCAAGTGCAGAATTCTATTTTTGTTCTCAATTTTGCTGTTACATGCTTTTTTTCTCAGTGATTCTGAAGAGAGTAAAATAATTCACAGGAGTAAAGCGTTTAAGGGTAATTTTCATCTGGCTACAACACAGTAAAATTTTATCTCTAAGAAAGCTGCTCAGCAGAGTATGCCAGTGGAGCCTAATGGAGTTGTATTTTCACTTTTCCACTAGAGGGAAATTAAGTTATTATATGATACCATGGGGGCCAAATAGTTGCTAAATAAAACACATGAAATGAATATTAAAAGCAGCCTAGCTAAACCTCACTCGAGGGACTGGCTGGTTCACCAAAGAAGCAGTTTAATTTTTTCAGAATATGTTTCAGATCAGTTAGAATTTCTCTGCTCAAACTCCTCTATCAGCTGCCCATCTTACTTGGGGGGTGCAGCTCAATACAGTGGGCCATGGTTCACAGGTCCACCTCTGAATGGAACCCTGGCTGTCTTTTCTATCATCTCATGTCACTCCCTTCCTTGCTGTCTGTACTGCAACCACAGCATCCTTACTGATGTTTCCCTTCATGCAGTGTGCTCCTGCGGCAGGAGTTTTGCACTGCCTATGCCCTCCCCCTCAGTGACTCACTCCCCACTGTATTGATCTGCACCCCCCCCCAACTTCATTCAGATTTGTGTTCTCATGAGTCCTCCCCAGAGAGGTCTTCAACTCTGTATCTAAAAGAATTTAGCATCCTCTGTCTTGTTTACTGGCTTTCTTATATTTTTATGTCCCCTAGCAATACCTGCCACATTCCATATTTAATTACAGTGGACTGCCTACCCATGAGGGTAGCACTTTTGTTACCAATGCCTCAAACTGGATCACTTTAGAAACATTCAAGTATTTATTGAATAAATGAATGTGTTGAATGAGTAAATGGATTACGATTCCTATTCAGATTCATATTTCAGACCTATTGTGCCAGGATCAGTCATGATTTCACTAGTGACCAGAGTACAGAAACCTTAAGGAGAAATGCCCTTTATTTTAACTTAGTAACTTTGGAATTTTCTTCCCCTATAGCTCATGGTTGATAGTAATTGACTGCTTGTTAGTTTTAAGACATTTAAAACATGAACTCGCCCTTTCACAAAGGCACAGAGCCAGCTGAATTTCTTTTAGTTGATACACATTTAGCACTTAGTGGCTAGAAATAGTATAGGTTATATAATATGCTGTCAGTTGTCCTAGCAACCATTAATTTTTTTTTTCCCCTGAGATGTTTAAACTACAAGCAAGGTGTGATTTGTGTTTTGGATGCGGAGAGATTTTCCTTTTTTATGGACCTATTTATCCATTCGCTCTCAGTAGTAATGTGGAAGTGCTGGCCCATGTAGTGTTGCAAAATATTTAGAATTCTGCCTTAGCCAGTTTGTCTCAATGGTCAGAGTGTCGGCCTGCGGACCAGTAAGTCGTGGGTTCTATTCTGGCCAAGGGCATATACCTACCTCCATTGCGGTTTGTCCCCGGCCATGGTCAGGGTCGTGCGGGAGGCAGCCAGTTGATGTGTTGCTCTTGCATCAGTGTCTCTCTCTCTCCTTCCCTCCCTCCTACTCTATCTGAAGATAAATAGAAAAATACCCTCGAGTGAGGATAAAAAACAAACTAACAAAAAAAAAAAAAAAATTTAGAATTCTTACAGCAGGTTCCAGAAAGGTCACTTGACCCTTAGGTGGAGCTTCATTGAAAGTAATTATTTTGGCCCTGGCCAGTTTGGCTCAGCGGTTAGAGCAGTGGTTCTCAACCTTCCTAATGCTGTGACCCTTTAATACAGTTCCTCCTGTTGTATGTGGGCGTATCTGCATGTGGGCGTATCTGCATGTGGGCGTATCTGCATGTGGGCGGACCCGCCTGGAGGATAGAGGAGCGGTGTCTCGGTTCCTAAGACCATCAGGAATATTGGAAATATCATTTGACCCCCAAAGGGGTCGCACCCACAGGTTGAGGACCGCTGGGTTATAGCGTTGGCCTGTGGACCAATGAGTTGCGGGTTCGATTCTGGTCAAGGGCACGTACCTCGGTTGTAGTTTGTCCCCGGCCCTGGTCGGGGTCATGCAGGAGGCAGCCACTTGATGTGTCCCTCTCAAATCGATGTTTCTCTTTATCTCCCTTTCTCTTCCTCTCTCTCCTTCTCACTTTGTCTGAAGATAAGTAGAAAAATATCCTCGGGTGAGGATTAAAAAAAAAAAGTAATTATTTTGAAAAATCATGCCCTCGTGAATTTTCTGTACATCCATCAGTGTCATGCCTGAGATAGATAGATGACTGCTATGCAGGCACTGGGAACAGATGACAGTACATTTTAAAGCACAAAATTCCAGTTTAATTAAGCACACTATCCGTCCTATTACTCTTTTTAAAGATGTAATGAACTATCTTTTTTATTTGATCAAAGTTTATTTTTGTTCCCTACTCCTTAATTGTTCACATTTTTGTTGTTACACTTCGGAATTTACAGTATTTTTTTTTTTTTTTTTTGGTACATGCCCCTAGCGGAAACCAAACCCGGGACTCTCTGGTCCGCAGGCTGATGCTCCAACTACTGAGCCAAACAGACCAGGGCAGAATTTACAGTATTTTTAAGATGATTTAAATAATAATAATTTTAACCAAAAATTTACTTTATATATCAGGGCTTGGCAAACCTTTTTCACATAAAGGGCCAGATAGTAAATAAGTAAGGCTTTGTGGGCCACATAGTTTCTGTTGCAACTGCTCGGCTCTGCTATTGTAGTACAGACAGTACATAAATGAATCAGCCCAGCTGTGTTCCAATAAAACTGTTTTCAGAACCAAACAGCAGACCAGATTTGGTAGTTTGCCAACCCATCACATAGTACTGTGCCCCAGATTTTTCAGGGAGAAGGTTGTCTGTTTCATATAGTAGAGAATGAGGCAGATGCATCCTATAAATTTTAGTTAAATTGATTTATAAAATGGAAGTGATATAATAGTTCATTCAAAAGGAAGTTATGATTTTGAATGGAAGATATCATCTCTTGTGTAGTCCCATTTCTCATAGAAAAATATCCACAGAATCAATACCACTTTATTGAGATATTTTTAAAGCCCTCCTTCCTGATTAATTGGCGTATTTTATTTTATTATGTATGACTGAGAACGAAGATTATGCTAAGAACTAAGAGCTAAATTATGTGCTCTATTGTAGTAGGATTATTAGCGTAGGTTTTCCAGGACCTTTATTTCCCCTGCCTTCACGACTTAATTCTTTTTTTAAAGTTGAGTAAGGATTAAATATATAAATGCCATCTGCCATATGTGATAGAAAGGGTATAATTGGGTGTGGCTTCTTGACAAAGATGACTTTTGAGCCTTTTTAAAGTTGAGGGGTATGAACTGGATGAGAGGAAAAGAATGAAAATAGTTTTTGATAGAGTACTATGAGCAAAGACATCAAAATAGGACTTGCTGGAATACTGGGCTGAGGTGGATGACATTGAGAAGCAGCAACCACAAAAGCACATCTTGAGTCACAAGTTGACTGGTTTCATAGGTACAAATGACTTTGAAGTCCCCAATTCCTCAAGAACATCAATAAATAAGGGTTTTCGCTCATGTTCAGGGTCACTATTATTGGGTTGCTGTTTACAGGTTTTGTATAGTGGAACAGTTTAACTAGTATTACTTGCCATAATACTGATAATTATATATAGCAGTGGGCAAAAGTATGTTTACACTTGTGAGTACATGAAACACAGAGTTTATTCTTTTTTTTTTAATTTTTTTTCTTTATTGATTTCGACGGAAGAGAAAGACAGAAACATCGATGAGAGAGAACATCCATTGGTTGCCTCCTGCATGCTCCCCAACTGGGGTTTTGGCCCACAACCTGGGCTCAACTACTGAGCCACACCGGCTGGGCACAGAGTTTATTCTTGTATTACTTATTAACTATTGTATTATTTACTTATACAACTGTAAGCCTACTTTTGCCCACCCCTGTATTCATTTGTAAAGTGAGAATTACTTCTTTGTATGCCTGTATAAATTGCTATTTTGCACTAATTATTTTGCCAAAAGCTATTACAGTGATTCACTAATTATTAATAGAGTAATTTTTACTGTATTGTAACACAAAGAAAACTTGTTAATATTTTAAAGTATATACCATGTAGAATAAGCAGTGCTTAAAATTTTTTGGCTCTTAATATTTATTTGCTTAAAAAGTAATTCTCATACCTATGTGTATTTATATGTTATAGTATTCTATTTCCTGTAAATTCATTTTTCTAATTTTGATTTGCTTTTCTTTCAGTTGTTTTACAGGTTTGCAGCCTGGTCCTTTACCCAATCAAGTTCATTGAAACTGTGAGCTTGAAAATTTACCATGAGTTCAATTGGGGTTATGGCCTGGCGTGGGGTGCAACTATATTCTCATTTGGGGGTGCCATCCTTTATTGCCTGAACCCTAAGAACTATGAAGACTACTACTAGAACCAATAGTCTCAAATTGGGGGGAAAAACATCCAACAAGGATTACGTCTGCATCTTTTGTAACTCACTATTTTCTAAAACACTTGTAGAGTGTCAAGCAGTTTGCTAAGTTGATTTAATATCTTTTGCCTTTTAGCTGTCAACATCATAACCAGCTTTTACATCCATTTTAGGGACCTGCACAAATTAGGAGAGCTGATTAGACATAGGCAAATGCTGCAAACTTCCAGTACGTTCGTGCCATTTTTCTTGACAAGTGAAGGGTCTATATGACAGCAACCACTGTGAGAATCTAGTTGGAATGAGAAATGCCTGAATCTCCTATAGCCTGCAGGGGAGCAGCTGGCATAAGCAACATTTAGAAGTTCCTTTGCGCTGACAAGGATTCCACTGTTAGAATCCTTATCACCTGCTTTTCCCACCCAGTGACTACATTGCCATTGGTTTTTTGCTTGAGTGAGCTCTTGAATAGTGAACTGCCCATCAGCATCTAATGGGAGTTCTGAATGTAAGTGGTTAATGGTACATATTCCATCTTCAAGAGTACTCTTTTTAATGGGAGGTTATGCTTTGGCAATCAGCATTTCCTTGGGAAGGGAGTCAAGACTTGGAGACATGTGCTTTTCATTATGTGCTTAGAAATTGTGCCTCATCCATATCTAGAATGAGGAAAATTGGGAGTCTCTACTGTCCCTGGGGCAATTAGAAAGAAATATGCATGAGTTGCTTTTGTCCATATACCCCTTAAATCATTTACCAAACATTACAGCCAATAATTGTGCATATGTAACAAGCTTAAATATGTTTATAGAAGATGGACCATTAGTATAAATGGTAATATGTTGTTCCCTAGCCCTACACTTGCATTTGCCTACTATGCATAAAATTAATATTTGCTCTAGTGAAGTGATTTGAACACTAACCTTGTACACGTTGTTAAGAGGCTTAGATCGGTATGCACACTTATTAAACCGTACAAAAGTACATATTAAAGCTTTTGCTCTATGTTCTCTACTGTTTCACTGGAAAGTTTTAATAGAATTGTATAAGAAGGAAAACTGAAATGGTGTTAATCTGAAAATTAATGATTCTTCTGTAAGCACTGTAGTTCAAAAGAGAGTAGCAATTAGGATGATCATTTTGTTTAAAATAGAAGGCTGCTTCTTGTTTTCAAGTATTTTAAATGTCTTTATTGAAAAATAAAGGAATAGTGATAGATTTATATGAATGTCTGAATGTCTCAGTAGAGGAGTGGAATTCATCTGGTTATCACCTGGTCCTCTGACATTAACTAATGGGCTAACTGATTTGTGCACACAATTGTGATGGATTTATGTTGAGGGAATCATTTATTGACTGTTCAAGTGGAAGGAAATATCAATAGTAGGGAATAAGTTTGCAACTAATCTCACACTGTAAACTTGTTCATCTTAATCCTCTTTAATATACAAATTTGGATAGTTTAATTATAAACGTATTTTTATATCAAATATACAGTTCTAATATAAAAGTTATAAATAATTATTTTTGTTAACAAAGACACTAAAACAGTATGTCCTGGTTTTGGCCCTTTTGCAGAAAGAAGCATTGGAAAAATCATTGCAAACATACCTGTGTTCTCTTGTATTGTAAAATCTGTTAAGAGCAGGACCACATCAGTGGTGGTTAATAATATGCTTTACCTCCCAAAGTAAAGTTCTGCTTTCAGCTTGTCTTAAGAACTGTTGCCAAAACAACAGGAAGGAAAAAAAACTATTTTATTATTCAAATGCTTAAAAAAAACTCTTTTATCTTCTGACTTTTCTATAGAATCACAAAGTAAATATGAAGTACCAGGCTTATTCTTATTTTAGCAATCAATGACAGACAAAAGTGATTAAATGCATCCTAGAGAGAAACCTTTATAAAAGTGTACGTTTCTATGTAGAATCATAAGAAACTATGAGTGAAGTTCTCCAGAAAGATGTTAGTATTATAGAATCCTTTGAAGCAATTTTCTTGAGAAATATACATAGTAAAATCTGGGCCAGACTTTCTTGCAGTTAGTTAATTGTATATTGTCGAAACAGCATGAGAAATACGATATTTGTAGGAAAGGGATTTCAGCTACTAAACACTCTCTACTGTGAGAGAATCTCTTTATTCCTGAATAATGGAAGAACAGTATTTTGGTGCTGACATCAATGAGGCACTTTTCTTAGTCCTAGTAGAGGATGCAGTGTGCTGTTAGACTAATATCACATCTCGAGTCTTATCAAGTTTTCATTCTCTGTCAATTATGACAAGCTGGAAAGTGACAGAATATGTTATCAGCTAAGGCACACATATTTGCAGTTTACTGAAAAGTAGATTGCTTATATAACTTTTTCCCCTTCCCAGTGAGGAGCCCTATGCTATATTTCTACCATCACTAATGTTTGAAAGTGTTTCATTACTAATAAGCTCCGTACAACACAGGTTGTTGCTCATCTGAAATACAGTTTTGTCTATCAATAAACACAAGTGAATTGTTCATCTACATTAACATTATGTCTGTGTAGCTTTAGGTTTGTTTTCTTACTAAAACTGTTAACTATAAACCCATTGTTTCTCTTAGAGAGAGAGATACACATAACACGTGTAGCAAAAAGTACTCAGCAGGGCTAGTTATTCGGATTTCTTGCACAACTATTTAGCTTTTTGTAAGTTCAACATGTAAATTTTAAAGACAAATATAGAGAGACCTATGTGTTTGAAATATAAATGATATCTATGGATTAGCATGTACCTGTATATTATTAAACATGCAATGAACTGACTGGTAAGTGATGTCTAATTGTATGGCTAGCAATGTAATTTATTCAGACTGTATTTTTGTACAGAGCAGCGCACACTAACCTATGCCTCTGTGTCCTCTTTAATGCCTAAAACTGTGCCTAGAAATTTCATCTGTCTTAAAAATAAAATATACTTCATGCTGTTTATGCTATTAGTTTCTCTACTGCTGTTCTATATTTATTATTTTAAAGTATATGACATGTTTACTACTTAAATCTGAAATCATGGTATTCTGGTTATTTTTTCTAACAGTCCTCTGGGGGAAATCTGTTTATCACTCCAGTGGTTTTGAGTTTGCAGTTTCAGGATCAGTTCTTCATTTCATGATTTTTGTAGCTGACATGAAGTTATCTATGTGGAAAAAATAAAAATAAAAGTGGTTTCACTGATGTGGTGTGACTCCTTGTCTTCTCTAATGTACACATTTTTCTAAATTACATGTCTTCAGTTCATTTTCTCCTTTATATAATCATTGTGAAAACAACTTAATATGACATACTCATTTTGTATCAAATTTCTTTAAAAGTACATTTTATTTTATATTCTCAAGATTCTTTCTATCCTCTGCAACTGAGTTATATGAACAATAAAAGAAAATGTCTTTTTAACTTTTCTGTTTTAAAAGGAAGGAAAGCCAGGCCGGTGTGGCTCGGCGGTTGAGCATCATCCCATGTACCAAGAGGTCTCCAGTTCGATTCCCGGTCAGGGCACATGCCCAGGTTGTGGGCCCAATCCCCAGTGGGGGGCGTGCAGGAGGCAGCCAATTTATGTTCTCTCTCATCGATGTTTCTATCTCTCTCTCCCCCTTTCTCTCTAGAAGCAATAAAGAAAATATAAATAAAAGGAAGGAGATATATTGTGGGCTATCGTTTTGCCTCCTCTTTAATAACACAATTAGAAACAGCAGTAGTGAAAGGTTTTTTGTTTAATTTTCAGTATTTGCAAGGTATTTAAAGTCAAAATTTACCATAACCCTTTGTGTATATAACATGGTAAGTATACACCCTGGTGGGTTTGGCTCAGCGGTTAGAGCATCAGCCTGAGGACCAATGAGTCGTGGGTTCAATTCCATTCAAGGGCACGTACCTTGCTTGTGGTTCATTCCCGGCCCTGGTCAGGGTCATGTGGGAGGAAACTGGTTGATGTGTCCCTCTCACATCGATGTTTCTTTCCCTCCCTCTTTCCCACTCTCTGAAGATAGAGAATAATATCCTTGGGTGAGAATTAAAAATAAAATAAAATGATCAGTGTACTTGGAAAGAAATTTAAATTATACAGTAAAATTCGCTTGTATGATTGTCAGAAAATGTTCTTAAAATTACAAATAAGACCATATACAATTGAATTTTCTTGTTGGTAAATCAGTTTGAATATAAATTTTTTCTGTCATGAAGATATCCTTTCATGTCTCAAACCCTCAAATTTGGGAGGTCCACAGTATATTTTTCTGCTAAAAGTATTGTAAGTCATCTGCATGCCTATATTTAATATCAAACTTTCAAAAGTATATTTAAAAGTTGCAGTCTAAAATTTTTGCAAATTTTCTATCATTTTGGAAATTTTCCTTTTCAATGGCCTGATTCTAATTTGATGGAGTAACATCATTCATTTGATGAATTATATTTTCAGCACAAAGTCCTTTCATTTTTATACAGAATCCTCATGAGCAGAACACCTTTACAAACATGTTCTGCCTGGTAATTATCCATGTCCCAGTTTCTCAGAACTTGGAAGACATGGACACATAACCTCCCTAGGATTTGACAAGGGAAAATCCTTTGCTTTAAGAGATTTCATTGTGAACAGGAAACAGGAAACTATTTTCAATGTGCTTTGCTATAATGGTGATGTAGCCTTTATACATCACCATTTAGCGGTTTTTTTTCATTAAGTAAGGCCCATATTATGTCAACACAGTGTTTCATTTTGATGATTTCTAATTCATTTTGGTTCAAAAATAACTTGATGGTGAAATTATTTTAGATTCTATACAATAATACACTGAATACCCAGATTTTTATAATTTATCACATTTTCATGTTATGACCTGTTAATAGCTTTTCAGAAGTGCAACCTTAATGAGATCAAATGAAAAGTGAATAAAAATTAGAATTAAGTGCTTAGTATTTTCACAGGAAGCACTGATTTATTTGAATAATTTAACTTCTATTCAAGTATTAGAACATGGTAACATAACTACTTAGTGTTAAAGTTACAATCAGACTCAAGACTCCAGGTAATAAAATGCTAACAGTTTTTTTCTATATAAGGCAGGTTTTTGGACAGGGAAGTCCTCCCATTTTTAACAACTACTAAATGTTGCCCTGAGCAGAGGGTTCATGTATCTATACGTGGAAAATTTGTTTTCAAAGAGTCACCAGCTAGGTGACTCACATTCATATTCCAGCAGTAAGTCTAGTGGTTCCAAATGAACTGTTCAAGTGGGAAGGATAATATCTAGTGTTTCTAAGCCAAGATTAACAGCACACAAAGAATGGTGTTCTTTGTCAAACTAAGGCTGTGTTGAGTGGTTCACCAGAGAAACTCAGTTTTGGCAAGAATTATTTCCAAGTTGAATGACTTCATAGGAATAATGATTATAAAAGAAGCTTGGAACAAGTACTGGAAACCCATGTCATCAAACCAACAAAAATCTTGAATACTTCAATTGCTGCATGTGACAAAGATTAATGAAAAAAATAGTATCTAAACAATTTATACACACTCCTTTTAGCATGTGTGAGGATGTGTCTGGATGACCCAAAGGCATTTCTTATACCACAGAAGAGAAGCAGTTTCAGGCATGGAGTTAAGCTTCAAATATTTATGTGTGATGACGGTACTGAAGACTACCCCTTGATAGCTTTGAATTTATCATAAAGGTAAAATAAGAAATGAATGTCATACAGCCTATTTAAAACATTTTTCTGGCTCCAAAGCCTGCCCTCTTTATTATATTTCGCTGCTTCTTCCATGTATGCTCTGACCCCAAAAGAAATAAGAGGACTTAAATTCACAGATTCATAGTCACTGAGCAGCAGTTGTTGACACATTTGTACTTGGGAGGGGTTCTCCTTGGAGAGAGAAGCAATAGGTTTTTTTTTTTCTTTATTGATTTTAGAGAGAGGGAGAAACATCGATGAGAGAGAATATCAATTGGCCGCCTCCTGCATGCCCCCCACTGGGAATGGGGCCCACAACCTGGGCATGTGCCCTGACCAGGAACCAAACCAGTGACCTCTTGGTGCATGGGTCAACATTAAACCACTGAGCCACACTGGCCAGGCGAGAAGCAGAAGTTTTGATAGGGAAAAGGAAAGAGCATGATGGCCTATTTAATTTTTTAAATAAAAATAGTTCACAATGAAGAGTTCAAAGAAAGTGTTTGAAACCTCAACAGAAGACATTTAAATTTAGGAATGAGGACTTACATTGTTAAGGGTTAAATGGAGGAGAAATGCTACATTGCTGTGTGTTAAGTGAAAAGGCAGATACTGCAATCACACCAGGCAACCTCTCCCTGGCAAGCTGTATGAAAACGGCTTTGGAGAGTAAGTCCCCCTTTGTGGCCATATCGCTGCTGAGTGGGTGGTAATGTGACAATTCCGGACATCAAGAACACATTTTCCAATTTTTAACTCTTAGGTAATTCTTTGTAAGCATTATCTAGCCATTACGGTTGTGTTCATTATTTGAGTACTGGTATGTATGTCTGAAAGAAGCAAAATAGTAATGAAATAATAATGAAACATTTAACGTTTATGATCATGAGAAGTTTTTCATTCAACTCCAAGCTATTGGGTGCTGTTTGCTGTTGGAAGAAATTTCACATACATTTGAAATATAGAAATCTTTATGGAGGCATAATATTGCATATAAAGCCCTGGCCACCAGTGTGGGTCAGCGGTTAGAGCGTTGGCCCTAGCACTGAAGGGTGTCACAGGTTTGATTCCTGGACAAGGGCACTTACTTGGGTCGCAGGTTCAATCCCCAGCCCTGGTCAGAGCGCGTGAAGAAGGCACTGATCGATGTGTAGTTCTCACATTGATGCTTCTCTCTCCCCCCTCCTCTCCCTTCCACTGTCTCTAAAAAAATCAATAGAAAAAACATGGGTGAGGATTAACAACAACAACAAAAAATTCCAGTTATATCTTCCGAAGACCTTGATATTTTTAAATGCTTCTTAATGAAGCAGTTTGGAAAAATCCATTCCCAGAATATTTCCTTGTAAACCTCAGGATTTAGCACCTATCTTTCCAGCTGACTTTTAAAACATGGAATTCTTTGAGTTACTGTCCTCCGTTTTTTCAGACATGGATAAAATTATTTTTCTCCTAACTGCATCAGAAATTCATTAAATATAAGTACATATTCGGGCAGAATTTGAGCTTTAGGAAGTTCAAGTATGATCTTAAGCACACTAACCTCCTCCTGTTGCTGTTGATTGCATGACGTCTTTGAATCAGAAATGCTCTAAAAGTTGCAACAATTAAGACTTCATATGCCTATTCAAACCAGAAGCATTGTTTGGCTTCAGTTAGGCTCATTTATTTATTGTGCTATTTCGATGGGGGGAAACCCATGTAAAACGCTGTTTTCCTAAAGTTAGGCTGGTTTTGATTTATTAGTATAAATACGTACAAATGCCACGCATTTATGTACTTAGAATTGTTTGTGTAGTATCTACATTGCAACAGCAGCATTTTTAGAATGATTTACAATTCATGGAAATACACAAAGTCAGTAAAGATTGGGGGAAAATATCTACAGGAAAAGGAGATTAAACAATTGGATCTTCCAAGTTTTGCCATTTAGTCCTAACTGTGTGGTATAAAACTGTGCAAGTATGAGAGTAGAAACCTGACAGGTTGATGTCATTGATTCGTTTTGGAGACCGCTCCACCCATAGTGATTTTTCTGAGAACAATGGAGAACTTGGCAGACAGCCCTGGTTTGGTACCACGTGACCCTGCACCCCAGGCAGAGGTGATTAGAGCAGCGATGGTTCCTGCCTTGGGCTAGCCCCTTCTGTTTATCTTACCCATTAATCTGGAATTGGTCTCTGCTTGTAGCTAGTAATAAAACGCATAAACTATGGGGCTTGGGGGCGTGTGCAGGGATACAAAGAAAAACTGCAGAGCATAAAGGAATGAAATTTTCTGAGAAAAGCAGTCAAGAGGGACTATGTAAGGCCCAGAGGGAATGAAAGAGTGGGTGGTCCCAGATCCTAGTAAGGTCAAGCTGCCTTGTGTTCTATGAAACACTCTTGTATCCTTCCAATAATTTCCTGTGCTGATTATGCACTCTTAGTTGGAACCAATAGATCCTTTAGTTAGAGAAAGCACCCCTTGTTGGAGGGTTCAACATTCAGGTTGTTCTAAATCTCCAAAAAAGG